TATAAAAGGTGAGAACTGTGTTTAAACCAGTTATTTAATTTATACTAATAAATTTTGCCAGAGCTCAAGGTCTTTTTAATAGACAGTGTATTGTAAAATGAATTATGATATTTAGAAACAACTATCAAATGGTGTTCTCAGTTTGTATTTCATAGTATTTTCATTACTGTATTTTTACTTGATAAATATTATTTATGATAAATTATATGAATTTTATATGAATTTTATGGTTTTGAGATAAAATATTTGATTATAAAAGGATTGAATCTCTGAGACTAATGTCTCACTTGTTATGAACAGAATTGACTAACAGATATTACCGGTAATAAGATTTGTCTATAACCTCATTATTACTGCCCATTTACTTAACACAAGGAATTTTATTAATATTTCTACATTTATCAGTTGAAAAGTGTAAAAATTGCTAAAATCATGACTACTTTGGAGCAAAAAAGACAAAAACTACTGCAATTCAGTGGTGCGATGGCCGCCCCCTTCACCCCCTTCGACGACAAGGGGTATAAAAATTATAAAACTAATTATCAAATAAATACTGTATTTATATGATTATTATGTATTACTGTATCAGAGAAGTGAATGTCTCGCAGATTCCCAAATATCTCACGTATTTGGTGGACAACAAAGTGGACGGCCTATACATCTGCGGCACCACCGGTGAGGGCTATAGTCTGACCAACGATGAGAAGATAGCTATCGTGAAGGCCTGGCGTCAGGCGATCGACACCCAGAAGGCTAACCATCTGTTGGCTGTGGTGAACGTCTCGTCCACTTGTCTTAAAGAGTCGCTTCTCCTATCAAAACAAGTGGAAAGTCTTGGTTTCGATGCGATCGCCGTTTTGCCGCCGATTTATTACAAACCGGCGACTGTTGACGAGTGGGTTAACTATATGAAGGCGTTTGGTAGGGCGGCGCCCACTATACCCCTCTACTACTATCACAACGCCAGACGTGTTGGGGAATTGAGTTGTAAGTAACGAGTAGTTTGTGAGGGAATGACTGAATGACTGATTTGAATATGTTTTTTGCAATTAATAGTCGATTTGTTTCAAGCGGTCAGCGAAGGCGTCAAACAAATCCCACAGTTTTCTGGTTTTAAAGTATAATTCATTTTATGACATGTGTTTTGATTGAAAACTAATTTTTTTTGTTACAAAATAGTTTGCAGACAACGATTTCCTTCGCTTTTCATTATTACATAAAAAGTTTAATAAAGATTTGAAATTCTTTTTGAGTACTGAAGAGGTATGTAGTAATGCTCTCACTCTCTCTCACTCTCTCTCTCTCTCTCACTCTCTCTCTCTCTCTCTCAAAATATTAATTATTAATTTTAATGATACTTATCTCATGATATAAATTATATAGATATTGATAGCGGCGTTGACAGGAGTGGACTCCCGGGCGGCTAACTGTGCGATGTTTAACTTCGGACCAGTGGTGGAGTCCTATAAGAAAATGGTGTCATTCGTGGATCAGTCAGACCTCGACAGCGCCCGCAAAGAGCAGACAAAAATCATCGACGAGTGTCTGAAACACCGATTGAGCGGTAATTTCTTCGTGTCCGCTAAGAAGCAGTTCAACGCCGATGTTAAACACCTGGGTATTAATGTCGGCGCACCACGACCTCCCCTTTGCTACCAATATGAGTAGTAATTGGGTTGAGACTATTAATTATAATTTTTATTATTTTACGATTTCAATGTTAATTCAATTCAATTTAATAATTCATTATCAATTTATTTTTATTTCAATACTTTATGTATTACATTACTTTTATTTACTTTTATATTGGGTTTTGGTTAAAAGATCTGTCGTAGATTTTCATTTTTAAATTAATCAATGTCACTTAAAATAATTTTGTTAATGAAATGAAGTCTTCCAGTAAAAAAGCCATTTAAATGAAATGAAACATAATTAAAATATGAACCATTTTATCCAATTAAATGTGATTGCAATACTACTGTATTTTTCAATGTTATTAAATATTTGAGAGTACAGAATATATTTAACAATTACATCATTCATTTGGTTTAATAACTTACTTGTTTGTAGCACTAATGTCCGTATCATAAATAAAACAATAAAACATTAATCTAACTACTGATATATCAGGGTTGGACCCAAATTGTACTCTAATTATTAACAAACAATAAAGAGTTAATCATAGAAAACCTCTTGATAGTTATTTAAATTAATGTTTATAAT